CCCATGTAGATTGCAATATGAATTTTCCCAGATATTTGGCATATGGGTCACATGTAGATTAAATGTGGCCATTCCCAAAGTTATCTTCCCTGTTATTTGGCATATGTAAATGTGTAAATTAAACACTACCTTAAGCCCATGTATTTCCCCAGCTATTAACACATGGGCCCCATGTGGAGTAAATGCGGGTATTATTTCCATAATTATCCACCCAGTTATTCGGCATATGGGGCCCGTGTAGATTGAACAAGAGCATGTCCATATTTATTTTCCCAGATATTTGGCACATGGGCTCCGTTTAGATTAATGTGGGAAATCCCATAATTATCTACCCAGTTATTTAGCATGTGGTGCCCATGTAGACTGAACATGTGCATGCCAATATGTATTTTCCCAGATATTTGGCACATTGAACACATGTGGATTAAATGTGGGCATTCCCATAATTATATGCCCAGTTATTTGGCATATGGGTCCCATGCAAATTAAATATGGGCATGCCCATATGTAACTTCCCATATATTTGGCAAATGGACTCCATTTAGATTAAATATGGGCCTCCCATATTTACTTTCCCAGATAATTGACATATGGGTCCCATGTTTATTATATGTGGGCATGCCCATAAGTATTTTCCCAGATATTTGGCACATGGGCCCAATGCGAAATTAATATGGGCATACCCATGTTCAACTACCCAGGTCCTTAGCATGTGGGCCCCATGTAGATAAATAAGGGCATGCCAATATGTATTTTCCCAGATATTTAGCACATTGAACCCATGTGGATTAAATCTGGGCATTCCCATAATTATATGCCCAGTTATTTGGCATATGGGTCCCATGCAAAATGTAACTTCCCATATATTTGGCATATGGGCTCCATTTAGAATAAATATGGGCCTCCCATATTTACTTGCCCAGGTAATTGACATATTGGTCCCATGTATATTATATATGGGCATGCCCATAAGTATTTTCCCAGATATTTGGCACATGGGTCCAATGCGAAATTAATATGGGCATACCCATGTTCAACTACCCAGGTCTTTAGCATGTGGGCCCCATGTAGATAAATATGGGCATGCCAATATGTATTTCCCAGATATTTGGCACATGGAACCCATGTGGATTAAATTTGGGCATTCCGATAATTATATGCCCAGTTATTTGGCATATGGGTCACATGCAAATTAAATATGGGCATGCCCATATGTAACTGCCCACATATTTGGCACATGGGCTCCATTTGGATTAAATATGGGCTTCCCATATTTACTTGCCCATGTATTTGGCATATGGGTCCCATGTATATTATATGTGGGTATGCCCATAAGTATTTTCTCAGATATTTGGCACATGGGCCCAATACGAAATTAATATGGGCATACCCAAATTCAACTACCCAGGTCTTCGGCATGTGGGCCCCATGTAGATAAATATGGGCATGCCCATATGTATTTTCCCAGATATTTGGCACATGGGCCCCATGCGGATTAAATGTGGGCATTTCCATATCTATCTGCCCAGGTATTTACCATATGGGGCCCATGTACTTTAAATATGGGCATTCCCATATATATTTGCCTATATATTTGGCATATGGGCTCCATATGGGTAAACCATGGGCAAGGCCCATATGTGATTGCCCAGACGGATCCCATAAGGGAAAAATATGGGGTAGCCCATAAGACTTTTCCCAGATATTTTGTATATGGGCCCCATGTGGGATTGTTACCTGGGAACATCAGAAAAGGAACGTTGGCTCAACGTAGTTTGATGACGTTGCACAAACATTGGCCCGAGGTTGATCCAACTAGTCGGACCGACGTCTTTCCAACTGGCTGAACTGACGTTGGTCCGATGGAAAAGCGAACGTCTAGACAACAGTAGTAAACGAACGTTGAGCCAACGTGGTTGGACGACGTTGCACAAGTGCTATCGGGCCAAAGTTGATCCAACTAGTCGGGCCGACGTCTTTCCAACAAGCTGAATCCATGTTGGGCCGATGGAAAACCGAACGTCTGGCCAACCTTTGTGTAAGTACGTTGTGCCAACGTAATTATTTGACCTTCAACCAACGTCGGCCCGATGTTGATCCAACTAGTCGGATAGATGTCTTTGCAACTGGCTGAATCGACGTTGGCCTGATGGAAAAACGAACGTCTAGGCAACATCAGAAAGGTAGGTTGGGCCAACGTGATTGGACGACGTTGCACAAACATTATCGGCCAACGTAGATCCAACTAGTCGGGCCGACGTCTTTCCAACAAGCTGAATCCATGTTGGGCTGATGGAAAAACGGCCGTCGGGCCAACCTTTGTGTAAGTACGTTGCGCCAACGTAATTATTTGACCTTCAACCAACGTCGGGTCAACGTCGCTTGCTAGCTGGGGTTAGACCCATTGGATATTCCAGTTAGACCCATTCGATAATGCCCAGTTGGACCCATTGAACAACACCAGTTGGACCCATTGGATATTACCAGTTCAACCCATTGAACAATACCAGTTGGACAAAATACCAGTTGGACCAATTGGGTAATACCAGTTGAACCAGTTGAAAAATACCAATTGGACCCATTGAACCTCGTTCAACCAGTTGGACCCATTGAAAAATACCAGTTGGACCCATTGAACCTCATTGGACCTATTGGAAATTTCAATGGGTTTCAATGGGAATTTTTACCTGGGAACAATACCGATATATCTTAAACATTCCAGCGTGCAGATTGACTACTATATACAATGTTTGAACATGACTCATGATATAATTTCAATGACAAGATAACAAATTGTTCTCATCAGAAATAAAAACACTCTCCGATCACATTCATAAAAAAGCAATGACAAAAACCTGATATTACACTTAGAGTTTCATGTTAAAAGACATTGTTTTATCATTCCACATACAGGGGAAAAAATGATTATTGGTAATAAATAAATTACTAGTTAAGGGTACAAAAAAAGATGTAGCAAATATATCCTTAGACAGATATCTGGAAAATATGCTTTCATGGAAAGGCTTAAGTTTAAAGTAAAACATACACCTTGATGGCATACTTACACTGTTTTTGATGGATACTATGTTTGGATGAGTCATCATAAATGCTACAGTAACGTTTCTGTGATGATCATAACTTAAATCTTGATTCAGGAAGCAGGCATGCAGAGGCGTGTTACCTTTCTGAGAGTGTTGATTATAGAACATAACAGAGTGTATATTAGTAACTAAGAATTGACATAATGATGGTGGGTTTGCAATCTTCTACAGTATCTTCATTTATAAGAAAAACGACTTTTTGTGGTTAGAGATAATAAATAGTAAATTAATATGGTACAATACAATAAGTATGTTAACATTGTTAATACTTTTGTTAGTTACACTGGAGATGTATTACTTCTTTTATTGAATATGCATCAAGTCAACTTTAACCAAACCGGTCTATTAAGAAGCAACTAAATTAGCTCAAACCAACCAACAGTTCAATGTATTATATTCCTAGATTCTAAAGCTATTTTAAAAAATACAATTATGACACGACAATGTCCTTAATACTAAAATGTTTTCAGACTTTCTTTTATCTGAAATATGTTTCGAAGTTTGGATACCCTACCTTTGAAAGGAGAATTGATGCCCCTGTGTCTAATAGTAGTTTAACCACTGATGAATATCCCCAGTTAGCAGCTACATGTAATGCTGTGTCTCCATTCTTAAAATAGTAAAAGTATGTAGAATGTTAATTACAAAAACACACATCAGTGGTATGATTTGCAAGAAAAAAAAATGTATATATGATCATAAAATTAACAACGCATGGCCTGCTTCCATACATCGCAATATAATTCTTGATATTCACAAATTGATGACAGAAAAAGAAATAAAATATAAACAAAATAAGGACTATAATATAATGAAACCACTTACTTAGGTATTTAGATCATATTTTTGGACACTTAATTATCGACTCAAGTTAAAAATTCCATTGGTAAACAAAGAAACCCCTATGTATGCAATTACACAAATCAGTAGTGATGTTGGTAGTCTATGAGTGGATACATACCTGGATAAACTGACTAATTGCCTATTTATTCTCAAATATGAGAACACACCTCAAAAACAAAATGGAACAGTCGGCCCTGGCGCACAGCACAAGTGACCCCACAACAATTCTGAATGAGGAAGAAGCATTGTTGGGGGGTCGCTTGTGTTAAAGGAGCCATTACTAGAATAAAAAAGGGGGCGTGGTACATAACTTAAAAACCACTTGCAAACTGAAGCTGAAATTTTGGATTTTTCGTATGACATACCATGGTATTTTACCATACCATGGTAAAAGGAAAATTCAAAAGGTGTTACAGGAGAACTCTTAAATTTCTGGCTGATTTAAACCGGATGTTTTTAAAGTGTTTTTAATGAGCGTTCAAAAGTTTTCGATGTAATTTTTCAAATTATTTAGAAAAACTTCCAAACGGAGAATTATACATAGAAATATATAAAAAATACACACCAAACACTAAATTAAAATGTATTTACATGAATATTTTAATACAGTACAGATTTATCATTACTGTATAAGTTATGTCTCAAAAAGGTTCATAAATTAAATAGAATGTAGGACACAAATGTCAGCATTATAACAAACATTCCATATCAGAAAGTATGTGCAAGTCGATTCCAGGCCCTTTAATTTTTCTTCACTTTAGGGAAACGATACAGCCAATGTAGTTAACATAATCAGGGGCGGATCCAGAAGTTTTGGTTAGTAGGGGCTATAGGTATATGTGTAAAGCGCCTCCAAGTGCCTGCGGAGGCTAGGTTTGGGAGGAGGTGTCTCCGTCCGATAAGATGGGGTTCAGAGGGGTAGCTGAACACTTTAGCTATTATATGTATGTATGTATGTATGTGTGTGTGTGCGTATATATATATATATATATATATATATGTGTGTGTGTGCGTATATATATATATATATATATATATATATATGTGTGTGTGTGTGTGGGTGTATATATGTATATATATATGTATATGTGTATATATATATGTAATACTTGTACAATGGAGCTTTTATTTAGTATCTGTATATAATTGAAGAAGAAATATGTGGTAGACACCATTAAAAATAATAACTGATGCCTAGTTGTTGTCAAGTGCAAGTGGATTTGAATAATTATTCATTCATTAAACAACATTTATTTTTGTAAATGTTAAACAATATTTATAGTAAATCATTATTATAACAAGAATATATGTAAATAAATTGATAATATGAAAAACGATTAACTAGGATCTTTAATGGCAGATAAAAATATCTTTTCACGCAGGATACTCACAGAAACAACATAATTTAAATAAAAATATTAAAAAGGCAATTATACGCCATGCTTAAAATATTGGAACCACGCTTTAAAAAAATATTAATGCAAATGCAAGGTCAATAAACAGACTTAGCGTGTCACTTGCTATGTATTAAAATAGCAATTGTTTGTATCCACCCTTTAGAATTTTGTGCACCACCCTTAAAATTTTGAGGACATTTTCTGAAATTTCATCATTCTTTAAAAATCCTGGTGAAAGGGTTGGGGAACATAAGACAATGAAGAGGGTGAAAACAGTTCCATAATAAAAATACTGTCCCTAAAATTTGACAATGTTAAGGAGAACCTCAGACGACAAAAGAATTCCCCTTAAAATGTTTTAAATGTAGTAGTAGTATCCGACGACAAGCAATCAGAAAAAAACTAAACTGGAACAACTCTCTCGACACGAAATGTTCAGTGTATCATACAAACGTTTAAATACCTGCCTCTGACCCAAGGGCGTTGATCCGTGGCTGAAAGTGGGGGGACGAGATGGACAAATAAAGCCTTGGGCTGTAGGCCCAAGCAATGGTTGGAGACCAGGGGGCGAAGCCCCGGAAGCTCTGGCGCATATAGCCTTTTAATTGATTTTAAGCAATGCAAATAACATTTATTTCCATACGAAATTTTTCAAATATCCAGTGGCAGATCCAGTAATTTGAAATAGAGCTGGGCCCAGAGAGGGACTTTTACAGATGGAGAGTGTAGCTGGACTACCACCTCAGTCCCACCATGGTTGGGGCTGAGGTAAGAAAATTTATGATTATGACACATCTAGATTGCCGGAAATGGCACTCTCAGACCTAAATTCTAATTTTCCTTTGTTTTTTTTTCCATTTAAAAAAAATAATTTTGAAAAAATTAGGGCCGGCTTGGCCCCACTTGAATCTACCACTGATTATTATGCCGTCATTGCGAGACTGCGTCAACGTAACACTGGAGTTTGTAAACTTTTTGTAGGCTTATCACTTAATCGAAATAGGTAGACATCATATCCGTGAAATTAGAAAAAACAGTAATCCTATGTATGTAGATAATATTAAACACTAGTATATACGTACGGGTCATAATAATATACAAAAAGAATAAATCGTTTATATAAGAGATTGTGCACTTTTGAGTTTGTAAAAATATTATCCTAATAAGGATACATGCTTCCAATTTCAACAACGTTCAGTACATTGTTTTCACAATAAATTTAGCCTCTGATAGTCGTTGCACCCATAAAATCGATCTAGTGGGTTTCTGAGATGGTTAAAAAATGTTTAAACAATTGCGTTTTTACTTGGTTTTGGTCCGGAAAATACGTACCGCACAATTGAAAAATGTGACAAAATTCATGAGTCATGCGTAATTGTTATTCTTTCCATTCGCTTGTAAAAGTGGGGTTTTAAATATAGAAGATTGGTGAAAAGTGGGGGGAGGGGGGGGAAACAATCGATACCATGTCCCCCCCACTTTGAAAAGTAGGCAAAAGCAGCTTTCTTAGCTACGTTTTTTGTCCGCTGATCGGTTAAAAAAAGTATTTCATTTTTATTTTATCACTGAAAAACAACTACTGTAAAATGTTTAGCCCATAAATATGATGTGTGTGAAGAAAACATTAAACAATATTTTAATTTGGACCTTCAAAAAGCAGTTAAAAAGAAATGGCTATGAAATTTTAGGGGGGGGCTAAAGCCTGTTAAGCCCCCCTCTAAATCCGCCCCTGATAATCTGTTTATGTGAATGATAGTACCCAGGTAACAAGCCCATAAGGGACCCATATGGTGCCCATATGCAGATCTATATGGGTACCATATGTGCAATCCTTGAGGAAACCTCTGGATTCTGCACCCAAGTTCCATGTGGGACCCATATGATTTAGCCCACATAGCCCAGATATAACCCATTTGGGGCCCACATGGAACCCACATGCATTTTTACATGGGTGGCATATGGGTTTCCCATATGGGACCTATATTTCCCGACCCATATGGGTACCATATGGGCTATCCTTGAGGAAACTTCCAGATTCTGCACCCAAGCCCCATGTGGGGCCCATCTGATTTAGCCCATAGCCCAGGTATAACCCATTTGGGGCCCATATGGAACCTATATTTCCCAACCTATGGGTATGATATGGACTAGCCCTTAAGGCACCCTCCGGATTCTGCACCCAAGCCCCATGTGGGGCCCACATCTTTCAGAGAACCCATATGGGGCCAACATGGTACCCTTATGCATTTGTACATGGGTGGCATACAGGATTCTCACATGGTATCCATATGCAATTGCACATGGGTTGTATATGGGGCCCATTATTTTCTGGCCCATATGGATGTAATATGGGTTTGCCCATATGGGGCCCTTCGTATTCTCCACCAAAACACCATGTGGGACAAACATGGTACCCATTGCAACTGCACATGGGTGGTATATAGGTGTCCCATATGTGAGGCCCATATTTTCTGGCTCATATGGATGGCATATTGGTTTGCCCATATGGGAGGCTGTATGGTTTAGCTGACATGGCCGAGAGAGAACAAATATGGAGGCCACACTTTTCTGACTTGGCTTCTAACTCTGGTTTGAATATTGGCTGAGTCGATGACCATGAGCTAGGTGTACATTTCAACAAATTACTCCTTTTCTGAAAATGAAACTTTTCAATTGCTTGTATATGTACAAAATATTTTCACTGCAATGATAATACAAAACGGTTACTTCATTTTAACACATCAATCATTTTATTTATTTTATAGAGAAAGCAATATTGTCAATTGCAAATACAAAATAGTGGTAAATGAAATCAAAATTTCTTTATGACCCTTAATAACTATACAATTCAATTTCTCCAGCTCTTTGGAAATTAAGAATATTCCATCATTTTGATCGCATTGGGAATATCACATATTTAACGTTTTTACAGATTATGAATATCCTCAAATTGATAGGGTCCATGCAAGAGTGTATCAATAAGAATCGTCAATAGTTTCACCATGAATCATAGTAACAGACAGTACGAATTCCTTTTTCCCTCATACTTTTCACGAAGATTATTAAGAAAGTATTCAATCGCCTCCCTTTTTTCAAATCTACTTGCATCCTCGCAATTCTGTAAACTGGCCCTGAGAAAAAAAAAGAAGACCTAAAAATAATAGCTTTTAAGATTTACTCACTTCGATTTATCAAATAAAAAAAAGACATGCAACACAAATAAAATTTTCAAAATTAGTGTTTTCATTGACTTTGGTTTTTGTGCAAATTTATTATAGGTCTGAATTATTGATATAGGTAACATGTCTCCTAACACCTTTGGGATTACACACAATCATCACAGCACAATTATGACAAATTATTACATTTTTTATGCATTAGAAGGGTGAAGTGAATGTGAATAAGATGATCTAATTTTAATTTACGATAAAGTATTTTTACTGGGCTTCAGCGTTCGATTCACCCAGTATCGCATTGCAAAATGTGACATGTTTTACGCTAATTGCGAAGCACTTCCACAATTGCATCACAGATAAATGCAACGCAATTATTTGTCTAGAATTAACCACTCAGTCTTCAGCAAGGCCTGGCAGTAAAAACTAAGAGGCTTGGTGCACAAAAAATTTCAAAGAGGTTAAATTACAGCATTACAAGTAATGTAAAACAAGAAATTTTTGTGACATGAAACTTTCGCGAATTGATATGGGCACATATGAAAAAATTGTTAGATTATCACTCCTGCGCACACTAACTATTTGGAAATATTGATGCGGGAATAAAAAAAACCCACCCTCATCACATTTTTTTTATTTTAAAGGAGTATTATTCTAATAATTCTTTCTATGTGCCCTAATACCTAAATTTATTCATGAGATGAACACCATACTATAGATCATCTATGATGACAATATCGTATCATGAGTTCTAGGCTAGAAAAGCCTACAGCCTCTGTCTAATGCTAGCTAGGCCCAGGCATAAGCCTGCCTATCTGCTCTAGGGTTTAGCTGGCCAGACACAGCTAATAATTACATGATAATTACAATCCTCATTAACATACGATATTAATAAATTTTGTATGGTACTTTTTTTTTTGCACATGAAAGTTTAGCTGGTTTTACAGTATTAAACGCTTTGATCGTCTTAAATATGATTTTATTAAGGATGTGTTGAGTACTATTATTGTTAGTATTATTAGTATCATCCTATAATTCAATATATATTTATAGAAGCTAAACAGATTGGGTTTTACGAATAATAAAATAACAATGTAGTGCTTAGATCCACACAGTAATCCTAAACGTTGTTATACATGGATATTATTTCATCAGTAGCTAAGGCGAGACTTCCTTTATTCCTTGTTTCGCATACTTTTTCTTCTAAAGATCATCAGAGGAGGGCAGAATAAAAATAAAGATAAAATTTAGTTTTTTTATTCAGCAAAAAGTTTGCATAAAACATCCAGACGGAGGAGAAAATAAATATACAATTTTATTGGTGAATGTAAAGTAGGATGATTAAATGCTTAAAATTTATATAAATATGTATATCTTTGGAGATTTTAAGGCAGTGGAGGGCATAAATTAAATTTTAAACCAGAGCCTTGCAGGCGTCAACGTTCCTATGCATGATACATGAATATAAGCCTTATATCTGTCTCTTATACACATCTAGATGTGTATAAGAGACAGTCAGAGGACTGGTCGAAAATTTCTTTTGAAATAAATCAGTGTTTTATAGTCCACGTGACTTGTTGCTTCAATTCCTTGTTTCAACGCCTTTTATATAATTTCAAGAACACACATGGATTTTTGACGATATATATATATATATATATATATATATATATCGTCAAAAATACGAGTGCTTTTAAACTGCCTTGTTACAAGCTTGCTTGTTTCATAGCTAAGGCTCAATCTCAAACTTATCTGAGCTGCACTGATGAGTCCTTAAAGGACGAAACAACGTTGTATGCAGATTATGTCTGAACTGTGTATGTAATTTGTATCCAAACCTTTACTTCTACAAACTCACAATTACACAAAAAGCATCTGTACTACAGTATATATATTTTCTGTAGTGAAAATTATTCAACAATCTATCAACTGGTATTACCCAATTGGTCCAACTGGTATTTTGTCCAACTGGTATTGTTCAATGGGTTGAACTGGTAATATCCAATGGGTCCAACTGGTGTTGTTCAATGGGTCCAACTGGGCATTATCGAATAGGTCTAACTAGAATATCCAATGGGTCTAACTGGTATAACCAATGGGTCTAACTGGTGTTATTCAATGGGTCGAACTGGTATTATTCAATGGGTCGAACTGGTATAATACAATGGGTCTAACTGGTATTATCCAATGGAAACTGGTATTATACAATGGGTCTAACTGGTATTATCCAATGGGTCTAATTGGAATATCCAATGGGTCTAACTGGTATTACCCAATGGGTCTAACTGGTATTATCCAATGGGTCTAACCGGTATTATCCAATGGGTGTAAATGGTATAATCCGATGGGTCCAAACCCAGGTAAAAACATTGAGACCAGTTGGGATTTCAACTGGTGGGTTTCAACTGGTTCAATTGGTATTTTCAATGGGTCAAATGGCTTTTAACTGGTTTAACTGGTATCAATCAACGGGTCCAATTGGTATGTTCAATGGGTGCATTGGTTTCAACTGTTCCAATTGGTTACAAAATGGGGCTCCAAGTTTCAACTGGTCTAATTGGTACGACATCAACATGGTTCAATTGACCTCAACTGATCCAGCTACTGGCTAAAATGCTTGGGCTTGGACCCACAGCCGGTGATGCACGGAGGACCGAGGGATGATACTGTAGTATGGCATAATAAAATAGTTAACAAATTTGCTTTAATTAATATTTACTTTTAATTAGGCCTATTATTAATAGCCTACTATTTATTATCATTAGGCCTCATTAATTAATTATTTATTCATATATTTAATTATTTGTATTGTCATTGGTATCATCCTCCATGTGGTATGATATGGCATTCCAGGTTTCCGACCCCCCTCCCCACACAAGCGGAGTGAATGACATCATTATATGCCCTGCCGTCATTGGCCACTCCTTCAACCTTACGAAACTGACCAATGGAAACCTAGGATCCACATTCAAATTCATTGTGTGTGCAGTACCAGGTACCAGTGGAGTCTACCAATGTTTGACAAATATCTGTGATTTTAAGGTACAAAATACAACAATAATAGCTGGTTTGCTCACTGATAACTACAAAGTAAGCATAATTCATTGATGCAAGACTTAATATTCAACACAACTTGATTGATTGAATGTTTCATACAGCCTCTAGCCGACGAAGCCGTAGCCTAGCTGGGCCGGTACGCTGAGCCTAGCCTAGGCTAGGCGAACTCCGGCTAGGCTAGCTAGGACGATGCAGCAGCTGATGATGCAGTGTTCGATAGAAAAGGTAAGATAAGAATACGATAGAACCATACTAATGTAAAAAAAAAAATAATAAAAATCCAAGGCAGACTGGGCCTACCCTATCTTCGTAGCTAACTTAGGCCTAGGCCTACTGTCTGTCTGTACTGTAGTAGTAGTTATAGCCTAGCAGGCCTAGCCCTAGCCTAAGTAGTACCTAGTTTTTCGTACAAATAGGGCCTAGCCCTATGCTAGGGGCGTAGCTACCTACTCTACTACTACTTGGTTAGGCTAGGGCATAGGCCCTGCCAATTATTATTATTATTATTATTTATTTTTCTTTATTTTTTCTCATTTTTTTTAAACTTTTAATTACTGTACATAAATTGTTTTGCCTCATATTTTGTTTTTGTCCAATGTATTTTAAAGTTTTATTTATTTGAATTGTCTACTGCTTTGTTTGATATTGTTTCCCCCCAGTCTTTTTATCATTAAATTCATTCGTATGTATGTTGTTGTTATAGGCCATTATTATTATTATTATTTTGGTTTATTGCCGTTCTGATTTAGTCACTTATTGCCATTTTGATCCATTGCCGTTCTGGTAAAAAAGTCACTTGTTGCTGTTTTGACTTATTGCCATTTTGGTTTATTGCCGTTTCGACTAGAAAGCCACCTTCTGATGCTGCATACAGTATTATCCTCCCCATTAAAAAATTTATTGCCCTTTTTATAATTTGCAATGTACCTGTATTACACTCATTTTATGTCTTCTAACAGAACATGGTAGAATAGTGGAAAGTACCTAAATGAAGTTGAAAAAAAAAACCAGATAATGGACAGAAGTTGATATAATAAGTTATGGTTAGTAGTTGATATTGTTTTAATTCTCTGGTTACCCTGTCAATTGTTGCTCATTAACTAATTGTTTTTTACTGTAACATATTTCAAATCTCTGAATTTTCAGATAAGTGTTGGCACATCTCACAGATACGTGTGAAAATCATTTTTTCCATCAACCATTGTTGGCTATCAAAGAAGAGAAACCTGTGCTCACAACTACAGAAGGATGGATCAGCCCTGGTATAATACAAAT